ATTTTTATTGAATTCTTAGTGTCAGTTGTGAGACAAAAGACAGTATTAAACCCAAACACATGATAATGCTCTGGATTATAAAATGAGACTTTATTGCATAGAGAAGAGTTTAGCCCCTTAAACAGATTTCAGTGGCATATGCCCAGCACAAGCTGCCCAAGCAAATTCAGGCCCTTGGATGAGATATTCAAGGGAGAAGATGTGGAAAAGATAGGGATCTGACTTACTAAAATCATTGAAAATGTTGAATTTCTGAAGTCTTGAAATGTGCTTTCTCAAAAAGACAACTTTGACTTTATGCATTTATAGAGGAAAGAAGAAAAAAATAAGGAAAATCAGATTTTCATCAAGCCTTGTCTAAAGTAATAGCCTCCTAAAGCAATAATATTTGCCCAGAATGTAAAGGAAGAGGCTAACTTTTCCACTTGTAAATAATCACCGTGAATTCACTCGATACTTGTGTAACCTATCAAACACCTCCCTTCTATCCATAGGCTCTTCTGGCACCCCTTTCCTAGCCAAATACCTCACCTTTGCAGCTCCTTGTCCCTAGACCTTTCATTTTGACCTTACTACTTCCCTGTGCTTTAGGCAATTGCCTGATGTGCTGCCTTAGTACTGTCTGCCTGTGCATTAAACTTAGTTGTTTAACAAAATTTAGGAGGATAAAGGCTTCAAGAAGCTGTACTTGCAAAACTTTTCAAAAATGCTGTGTTTACTTGGACTACATCAGCTGTCTCTGCTTGCTGTAGGGGCAGCACCCTTGTAGATAAAGGTTGTTCAGGGGTGAATGGGGAGGGGCTGGGGGCAGTGGCTATAAAAGGTGGAGGTGATGGAGGTGTGGGGCAGGGCAGTGGGCATTGCGTGGCCCAGGCTGGCGCAGGGGGCATGTGTGGAGCAGCATGGGTGCTGAGCCCTGCCCTGCAGATGCCCCTTGCCACGGCCCCCAGCTTGCTATGCTGCAGGCCTGGAAGGGAAGATGGCGGGGGGAGGAGCCAGCCGGGAAGGGGCAGAAGCATGGTAGAGGTGTACACCAGACATCTCATGGATAAGGACAGGTACAGCGTGGAGTTGGAGGAGGTCCTGCAGAACAAGGTGGTGGGCTTGTACTTCTCAGCCATCTGGCGTGCCTCATGCCGCAGCTTCACCTCTGTCCCCTGTGGCTTTTACATGGAGCTGCTGGAGGAGATGGAGCCACCTGCCTCCTTGGAGGTGGTCTTCATCTCGTCCGACCACAGTGCTGAGGAGATGGCTGGCTACATGCGTATCATGCACAGCGACTGGCTGGCACTGCCCTATCACGACCCCTACAAGCAGTGAGTACTGCCACCAGCTCCAGCTCCCCGCTGCTCCCCCTTCTCCAGGGCCTCTATCAGGATTCCTGCTTCCGAAGTGTGAACAAGGACAAAACATGCTGGTGTCTTTCAGCTCTAACTCTGGGGCCTCTGATGTAACGTTGCCACAGGACCTCCCACCTGCTCTTTCCATACAGTCTTTCTCTTATTGCTGCACAGTAAGAAATTCAGACCATGGTGTAATTTCTGTAATGTAAAGTGCCAATCCATCATCTCAACTTAGCTCTATTTTCATCCTGTTCTCTAAAGAGCGACTTTGTTACTAGCTGGCTCCCACTTACCTTTAGGTAGGCTCTCCCTAAAATTAAGCTAAGTTTACTTTCTTCAAAGAAAGTCTGCTACATCTGAAAAAAAAAGCAACAGCACAAGGAAAATCAGTAAGAAAATAAGATCTTAGTAAGATCACAGTAAGATCTCAGGGCTCTTCACTAATAGCCTTATAAGCCTGAAAGAAATCCTGAGTACTTCTTTTAGGTGGACTGCATCTTTACTACTTCATATAGTCTGTGGTATGAGTAGCAGGAAATACAGCTCCTGATGACTTGACTGCCTTCAGCTTGAATGTTGGTTATGATGCTGGAGGCACAGACTTTTGATCCTTGCAGAGGAGAAATAGAGATGATCCAGAAGGAAAGAAGCACTGGAGAAAAGGGGCTAGTGTGGAGGAGGAGTATGTCAACAACTGATTTTAGCAAATGAGGATACATGTTTTCACTGTGATCCACAACTGTGTGTTGTGTTTATACTAAGCCCTGCTGAAATCAGTCATTCTCAGTATGGCTGTGCATGGTACACTTACACCCTGAACGTACAAATTTTTGCAAGCTGCTATATATATATATATTTATATATATTTTAAAAATGCACACACTAAGTTTGTGTGCTGTCCACCTGTATAGGAGGTGGATATTTTTATGATTTGTAAGGTCATAAAAATCTCTTGGGGGAAGCAGAACACAGACCTTGAGACAGAAGGTGTTTGTCTGCCTGGCCTGAGAGTGATAAGGAGCACAGAGATGGCTGCTTAGCCAGGTTCACAGCCAATCTTCTCTAAAAACCAGTTGAGGCTGGCTGCTTGATCGGGCTTGCAGCCAACTTAACTGCAGACATCCTCTAAACTAGCTTTGGAGGTCAAACACCCAGGAAGGAGGAAGACGATGAGGAAGGCAGGACCCTCAGATTGAGGGCTGCCCCCTCCCCACACACACAGGTATGCGTGCATGTGCACCCAGGGGGGAGAGTTGCACAACTATAGGTGGAGTTTGTCTGCCCCTTCCCCCTGCCCAGCCTGCCTCCTGGGTCCTACTAACCCTATGTGCCAGGATGCACTGGGCATAAAGAGAGGGCAGTGCGGAGAGAAGCGGGGGAAGGAGAAACTCCTAACTTTGAGGCCTGTGCTGTCTCCACGGCAGCCGATCAGCAACTCTCTCTGATCTGCCCGCTTGAGAGGATGTTCAGTTCCAGTATCCCACTGGAGGGTATTGCCTTGTGAGTAGTTATCCATGGTTCGTTTCTTCTGCGTGTTCTTGCCTGAATAAATGTTCAACGTAGCCATTTCGTCCTATGTGGTTATTGCCAAATCCCGAATCCATCCGGAACATAATTAGCGATGAGGATGAGATTCGGCAATTGAAACAGTGGAACTCACTAGTGGAGTGCACAGCTATGTGAGGTCGTGCCACTGGATAGAAATCGCGTTTGTGTTTGTGGTCTTTATTGTGCGTGGTATCTGCCATTCTTTTTTGGGAGTGCTGTAGCCAACGCTAGCGACCACAGGGAGGCTGCGCCTCTGAGGGAACATCCTGAATGGGGGCCAGAACCATGGAATATTCTGTGGAACCAATGGGAAACCTGCACCCAGGTTTCTCCAGAACCATGGACCCAGAAGGACCCCATGGCAGTGTTACAGTATTGGGGTTGGTTTGTAGAGACTGACCGTACTAAGGACTCGGTCTGACTGGAACATGCTGGTTGGATGGGAGGTGCTCTGCTGTGTGTGTATAAGATTTTAGCGGGGCAGCTAGAGGAGAAATGGGAGAGGAATCAGCTCCTCCAAGATCAATTACAGGCAGTCCGAGCCACCCAGGTGGTGCAGAGGCAGGCTCTGCTGGAGATGAATGATCAGAGGGAGCTCCTGGAGGAGAAATGTGCTAAATTGGCGACACAGTATGCGATACGAGTGGTAAAGAATAGGCGAGGGAGAAAACGGGGGCAGAAGGGGAGCCCGGTGCGGACTATTATCACCGACCGTGACTGGGACCTGGACACTTGGGATGGGGATATTTGGGAATCAGACGAGGAAGTCCCCATACTGGAGGAGAAGGGCCCATCGTGGGACGAACCAAAAAGGCAAACCGCCCTGGTAGTACGAAGGAAAACTGTGCAGGCAGGGCCAGGAAAAATGATGCGACAGGATGAACTAACTGATTTTACCCCCAAAGATATTAAGAATCTTCTAGCGAAATACAGGCAACAACCAGGGGAAAAACCGCAGTCCTGGATGGTAAGATTAATGGAAGAAGGGGCCGATTCGGTGAGGATTGACAATGTCGATGCCTCGAAGTTTTGGGGGATAACTAATGACATGTATGTACAGTACGACCTGCTGAGAGTAGACGAAAATGGTATGTTGGAGATGGAAATTTCTATGATCTGTAGAGTCATAAAAATCTCCTGTGGGAAGCAGAGGTCAGACCTTGAGAAAGAAGATGTTTGCCTGCCTAGGCTGAGTGATAAGGAGCACAGATGCAGCTGCTCAGCCCTGTTCACAGGCAGCCCCCTCCGAAAACCTGACCGCTCAAGCAGGCTTGCAGCCAACTTAACTGCAGACATCCTCCAAACTAGCTTTAGAGGCCAAAGACCCGGAAATGAGGAAGAAGAGGAGGAAGGCAGGACCCTTGAATTGAGGGCTGGAACCCCCAACTGGTGTGCACCCAGAGGGGAGAGTTGCATAACTAAAGGCAGAGTTTGTTCCCCCCCCCACCAGCCTGCCTCCTGGGTCGTACTGACCCGACGTGGCAGGATGCACCGGGCATAAGGCAGAACAGTGCGGAGAGAGCAGCGGGGAGGAGAAACTCCAAACTCTGAGGACCATGCTGTCTCCGCAGGGGCGGGTCACCCCGCTT